GGAGGTGCCGGCTTGCAGGGGCGAGTTTAATCCGCCTGAGGGGGTCTCCCTGGAAGGGGACCGGGGAAGGAAGGGGCTTGGGGGTGAGCCCGCCTGGAGGACAAGCTGTCGTTTCTGAATGTGGCTCTCCTGAGAGAGGCCGGTCATTTGCGTCCAGACAATTAAACAGCCTTAGAAGAAAGAAGTCTGGGGTGGGATAAAAGGAAGCTTTAATCAACGGGCATAATAGAAGGGTCTTTAGTGTTTGACCCCGGAGGGGTGGGAGGGAAACGGGGCGAAGAGGAGAGAGCAGCGGGCCGGGGCCAGTCTGCAGCCCTGGGAAGCAAGGTGGGGCTGGCCAGCCTCCCGCAGGGGCCACTGAGGAGAGCAGCCTGTCCCATGGCTGAGCCGGGGTCGGGCCAGGAGAGCGGGCCTGTGGGCAGCGGAGGCTGGGGTCTCTGCCTTCTCCGGACTTCTGCAGGTCCAGGGGGGCTGGGGCCTCTCTGAGGGGCCCGTCTCAGCTGCTGCTGCAGATGCACCAGGCATGTTTTGCCCTCCCCATGCTCCCCTGGGTAAAAAGGGAGAAAGCAGACAGCTCTGCCCGCAACGTGCGCTTGCCCTGGTGTGCGTGCCGGGCCGAAGACCGCAGCCTCGGAGCTGTCCGCAGGCGGTTGGCCGCCCGGCCCGCTGCTCCCGGGGTGGCCTCCCGTGATGCCCCGGTGGCCGTCATCAGTCGGATGCGGGCCGAGGTTTACATGCACGCCAGCTGCAGCAGAACCCTCAGGACCCCTTTGTCGTCTCGGTGTTGACATAACCTCTCTTTTAAACAAAGCAGAAAATGCAGTCTTAACCAAGACGCGTTTTGGGTTTTCCTTTTAAGGTATTACTTCAAAAAAGCAAGCGACGAGTTTGCCTGCGGAGCCGTGTTTGAGGAAATCTGGGACGATGAGGCCGTGCTCCCCATGTACGAAGGCAGGATTCTGGGGAAGGTGGAGAGGATCGATTGAGCCCTTGAGGTCGGGCTCTGGCGGACTGTGGGGGCCAACACCCACGCCCCCGGCCTTGGCCGTGACGGACCGCGACAAGACCTTTTGAAGGAAAACTAAACCAATGAAGAAGACGAAGTCTAGGGGAGAATTGGCCACTGGCCACTTGGGGAGGAGGGTGGGGGGAGGGGGAGGTTGGTTTTCATTATTCACGAGCTGGGTACTGAGATAAGAAAAGCCTGAACTATTTATTAAAAACATGACCACTCTTGGCTATTGAAGATACTGACTGTATTTGAGAGACTGCCATACATAATATATGACTGCCTAGGGATCTGAAATCCATAAACTAAGAGAAACTGTGTATAGCTTACCTGAACAGGAACCCTTACTGCTATTTATTGAACAATTGATTCCCCCTGTCCCCAGTTTATGGATATGCTGCTTTAAACACAGAAGGGGGAGAGAGGAAGTTTTAATTGCCCTATCCAAACTTAGGGGTTGAGCTAGGACTGCATGAATGATTTCTTCATTAAAAGAGGATTTCTTATGCTTTGCCCTGCCCTTCTCCAAGCGAAGATAGACTTTTACAAATGGTGCCCTACCATTGACACACGCAGAAATTGGTGCATTTTTTTCTTTCTGTGCTGCTCTATTTTGTCGTAAAGGCCCTGATTTATATGGCAACGTCACCGCCATGTAGTGTCATCACATTGGATGGGGATCCATTGTGGGGTGCAGGGTGGGAAGCCTCCCTTTTGGGACCCCAGATTTACTCAGTAACTTTTCTAACCCCACCAAGGTCCGGCGCCCCATGGCGGAGGCTTGCTAGGACCTTGGAGTTCAACTTGTGCTTTTATTGAGATAACGACTCCTTGGAGTTTGGGGGGGGTGGGGGAGGTTTTTGCCGAAATTTTTTTTTTTTTGTTTTAGCTGCCTGACCACCGCTCTGGAAACCACCCCACTCCCCCCCCCGGCCCTGCAAAGAAGTGGACAGTTGTGGCAAGACCTAGCAGCACGCTTTCCTCCAGACACCTTCATTTTGACGTTCGGGTTTTTGTGTGAAGTTCATCTGTACATTCTGTTTGCCATTGTTCCTTGTACTATATGTCTGTATATATTGTATGACAAGAGAGTATTAATCCACTATCTCTAGTGCTTGACTTTAAATCAGTACAGTACCTGTACCTGCACGGGGTCCTGCTCCGTGCGTCGCCCTATATTGAGGGCTCAAGCTTTCCCTTGTTTTTTGAAAGGGGTTTATGTATAAATATATTTTACGCCTTTTTATTACAAGTCTTGTACTCAACGACTTTCGCCATGGCATTTTGTTCTACTTATACTGTAAATTATGCACTATAAAGAGTTCATTTAAGGAAATCTACTTGGTACAATAATTATTGCAATTAAGAGATGTAGCCTTTATTAAAATTTTATATTTTTCAAAACGTGGGCCTCGTCTTTGCATCCGCGGGGGTGGGAGCAGGGCAGAGGCACCCTTCCGAGTGTGAGCAGCTGCCCTTGATGTCCCGTCTTGCTTGAGCCCAGCTCTGACTGTCCCCCACGTCTTCTCACCCCACCTGGGGGTTTTGAAAAACCAGTGCTTCAAAAAATCACCTGGTTACTGGCTGAGGATTTTCTTGTCCCGGAGCAGGCCGTAGACAACTTCTCCATTTCCTGTGCTGCCTCTTCCTCTGATCCGGCCAGGCGGGGACCGGAGATACGGAGCTGAGATGGCCTTCTCCCAGGAACCCTTGCGTTTCCAGGAAATGGTGCGTGGATCTGGAATGTCTAGCGGGACGAATGACCCTTGAGCTCGGGGCTAACCAGGCACCCGCTCCGTGGCTGTGCCAACTCAAACGATACCTTCAGCAAGCGTCCGGGCTGCAAAGGTGGTGGGAAGAAGGTGGTTCAGCAGGAAAACTGCACGGTTCCCTGGATAGTGTGCTTCGTGCAGCCGTGGAAGCCGGCCATCGGTGGTGGTTCACTCCACAAACTTCGGGTTACCTCCCGGTGTGTCGGGCATTCGGAGGCCGGGCTGTAATTCTGATCTGGGAGAGCGTGTCTACTTTCGAAGATCCCTATAATGGACCCATTTTAGGAAAAGAGGATCTGCTGGACTTGACTTCTCTTCTACGGAGCTTTCCTGAGATGGGGTCTGCAGCAGATCCGGGTGGCTTTCCGTCCCTGCTGCAACACGTGACAGGGGAGGGGAGGGCCGGCGTCCTGGCCGCGTGGGGTTAGCGGCCGTCTTCAACTGGCCAGCCTCAGCGGGGCAGCATGAGGAGGCATCGGGGGCGGCCGCTGGCGGGGCCAGGCCAGGGTGCCGGGGAATCGGGACGCCGGGCCACAGGAGTCCTCGATCTCCGTCCTCGTGATGCGGCCTGACGCACCCTCCCCTCCCGGCGGGAATGGGGGCTCACAGCGGACGGTGTCCGGACCCGCTGCCAAATTGTGAGGTTCTTTGCAATCCAAAAAGACAACGAGACATAACCTGCTGTGTGTGGTGCGGGTAGGAGCTTCTGGCTTTTAATCTTCAGGCCTTTTGATTCGTCCCACAAGCATAACGCGCTACAACGCAGGCCTGGGGCTCAGACGGACCCGGGCTCGAGTCCCTGTGCCGACCCCGTCTGGGGGCCCGTCGCACCCGTGAGAAGGCAAGCAGGCCAGGCGGTCACTCACATGTGCGGCTCCCCTCGGAGGTCCTCTTTCTCTGCCTTTTGTGTGTTAGCTGCCAGCTGCTCTTTACCTGGCCTGGGTGGCCTTCCGGGGTTGGGGTTGCTGTGCCAGCGGAGTGAGGCTCAGGGTCCCAGGGAAACCTCAGCTCCCTTCTGACGTCCTGTATTATTATCAGCTCCTCGTTTGGAAATCCCACCCCGCCCCATTCCTAACGCTGCAACATCTGGGCTCCCACGTCCCCCTTCCCTTGCCCCGGGTGCAAAACCAAGAGGGCGACGGACAAATGGGCTGTTCGGCTGCTTGATTGAGGGCTTTCAGCTTAGAGCAGAGCTTTGGCCCCAGAGCATCTTTAAATTTTCTTTTATTGGGGCGCCTGGGTGGCTCGGTTGGTTAAAAGTCCGACTTCGGCTCAGGTCATGATCTCACGGCTCATGAGTTCAAGCCCCGCGTCGGGGTCTGTGCTGACGGCTCGGAGCCTGGAGCCTGCTTTGGATTCTGTGTCTCCCTCTGTCTCTCTGCTCCTCCCCTGCTCACACCCTCTCTCTCTCTCTGTCTCTCAAAAATAAATAAGCCTTAAAAAAATGTTTTTTTTTTTTAAAAGAGAAATGTTCCTTTTTTTTTTTTTTTTTTTTTTTTTTTTTTTTTTTTTTTTTTTTACCTTTAAGAAAGAATTTGGTTGTACAGGAACTTAATTTGGTTGTACAGGAACTCCCCAAATTGCATAGGGGATTCAAAAGAGTGATCCACACCTTCCTTCGCATCATTATTCTACTTTATCAACCAGAGTTCCTAAAATTCTGATATGAGAGTGAACCTATGCTGTATTCTGTGTCCCAGGAAGGGGGTCCTCCATACGGATAATGCCTAATTCTGAAAACATAAATTCCTGTGCGTCATCCACACCGACCTTTTAGTGTCCCTAACATGCTCTGCTGCTCAGCGTCTTTGCATATGCTGTTCCCTGTGCCGGGCTCGCCCCCTCCCTCAGCCCTTCCTGAGGTTGTCTGCTTTTCAGCCTCTGGGTGTTGACTTAAATGTCAAGAGATCTTCCCTGACCTGACCATCCGGGGTCCCTGTATGCCCTCACCTGGCCCTCTCCACCACAGAACTTCCTTTACCCTTTCACTGCACATTCTCATTTGTACCTATACAATAATGATTTCATTGCCCACTTACTCGTTCATGAGGCAGGGGGTAAATATCCTTTTATTCACCATTATGTATGTAATGGCCGGCATGGTGCTTGGCACTTAGTAGGCATTATAGAATGGAAGGAAAAAAGAAAACAGAAATTGTCTCTGGTAACTAGAGTATAACCCATAATGAAAATAATCACTGTTAACACTTTACAGCATCTGTCTCTGGTTAAAACACACAGACGTGCACACAGGCACCCATATGGGATACACTATTTTGTAATCTGTATTTCTCATTCAGTAATATGTCATTGGCATACTTCCGTATCAATAAATACTTTTCTGTATTGTTCTACAACACGAGCTGAATGTATGGCTGCATTTATTTAACTCATCACTATGGTTGGACATTTATATAGTTTACAAATTCTGCAATTATAAGTCCCATTGTAGTGAACTCTTTCCACTTAAACCCTCCCTCGGTATTCATCGCTAAGTAGTCTTTAATTATTAGGATGTAGGCTTTTTCATGTAGAATCTCTAGATCAAAGTTCCTTTTTAGGGCTTTGGCCACATCCTGCCAGACTGTCTGAGAGAGTGGCTTGTGTTTGACTCTCCAGTGACTTGCCCACAGTTGGCATTCCAGCCATATTTATGCCATCCATCTAGTGTTGTTTTTTGGTTGTTTTTGTTTTGTTTGAGAGCGAGTGTGTGTGTGTAAGCGGGGGAAGGGCAGAGAGAGGACAGAAGATCCAAAGCAGGCTCTGTGCTGACAAGCTGACAGCAGTGAGCCAGATGTGGGACTCGAACTCACAAACCACAAGATCATGACGTGAGCCGAAGACGGACGCTCAACCAACTGAGTCATCCAGGTGCCCCTATGCCATCCATTTAAATCTCAAGCCTAGGGGCGCCTGGGTGGCTCAGTCGGTTGAGCGTCCGACTTCGGCTCAGATCATGATCTCATGGTTCGAGAGTTCGAGCTCCACGTGGGGCTCTATGCTGACAGTTCGGAGCCTGGAGCCTGCTTCGGATTCTGTGTCTCCCACTCTTTCTGCCCCTCTCCCGCTCATGTTCTGTCTTTCCCTCTCTCAAAAATAAATAAACATTGAAAAAAAATTTAAATCTCAAACCTGGATAGTCAAGTCTCTGCCCAGTCTGAGCCAAGCCTGCCTTCCTGGTATTATCTCCATTTACAAGCTGAGT